GGCAAAACCACTCACCAAGGGAGGTTACCTGGGAGCTAGAATAAGACTTTAGAGCCCAATATCCCTATTTGTTCGACCAAGAGTAAGAGATAAATTTGGGGGACCAAATTTCTTTAAGGGTGGAGAGTTGTAACACCCAAAATTTTCCTTTATTTCATTTTATTTTTATTTTTATTTTATTTTAATTTTTATTGGAATTTTTTTTTAATTTTATTCTATTTTAATATTTAATTTAATTTAATTTAATTTAATAGAAATAAAAAAAATAATAATAATAAAATAGGGTAAAATTATTTTTTGGGATTTAATTGAAATTGATTTTAGGAAAAAGGGGTGAAAATTTGAATTCTGTGGGGTGTTTTTGAAAAGAAAATCGAAAACCGGGGGGTCAAAATGCAATTTAAAAAAATAGTGCCACGTTAGCAGTCCCGGCCAACCAGGACACGCCGCGTGGCAGGGACGCTGACGCGGGAAGCCACGCGGGACGGAGACACGTGGGCGATCCGCGTGCGCGCGATCGGACAGTCCAGATCTCATATGTGCGGTCGGTCCAGATTTGATCATGCACGGACGGTCCAGATTCATTTCTAATTTAATCACGATCAGATGGCCCAGATTAAATCATGATGGACGGCTCAAATTAAAAGGAGAAGGTTATAAATAATCGTATCCACACCCAACCCCAAACCCTAGCCTCCATAACCCTCGCCGGAGAAGATGACCCAGTCACCGGAAGAACCGGCCGCCACCATCCGCCGCCGCACTGGAGGATTTTTCGGCCGCCAAACGAAGTAAACTTTCTCTCCTTGGCTCGTTTTTCGATGCTGAATCTCCCTGTGGCCAAATCAGAGCCAAACCACCGGCCAATTAGCCGGAAAACACCGCCGAAGTCTAGCAGCGCCGCCGTGGGTTTCCTCAGTTTTTACCTCCGATGAGGCCCTTCCCAGTTCCCGTTCGATGTAATTTTTATACCACTGTCCTTTTCTCTATAGGTTGACAAGAGCAAAACATCAAATCGCAACGCGCGCCAAAGGAGCTGCCGCACCCGAGAGTTTCGCCGCCGGTAAGTCTCAGTTTTCTAAAATTTTTTGGCCCACCGAGGGCCCTAGGGGTGTTTTATCACAGGAACCAATGCAAGTTTGGCCGAATTCAGCCGAAAACGGCCAACCCGAGGTGGATTTCGGCCGTGGGCGGCGACACCGACGCCAGAGCACAGCGGAGCAGCTGTGCAGGAATTTCAAAATTGGTCGAAAGGGCCCTGGGTCTGATTTGGGATTTTTTGGGGACATGTACAGGTACCGAAAGTGTGTTTCAGTTTCTAGAAAAAAATTCAGAGAATCTAGGGACTGTCCGTAGGTGCAGTGAGAACCCAATTTCAGATTCCAAAACAAGTAAGGATCTCTCACCCTATTTCCTATTACGGCATTAAAGCTTAATAAATGATAAAACGGTATTTATGAATTAATAAATATGTATAATTAATTAAGGTTGCTAATGGAGCCCGAATTTGATGTATTTTTCGGTCAGTTGTTGTTTGATTTATTATACAGTTTTAAATGCAGTATGGTGCCTAATGTATTTATTCTATGGTTTTGTATGCATGAATCACGGTTTCATTTATTATAGTTTGAATTATTATGAACCCGATGTTGTGTTTTCTTGTTTGGTGTCCATTACTGGTTTACGTATTTATATTTGATTGGATAATTGAGATTAAGAAAATAATGGAAAAAGTTATGTGAATTGATAAATGGATAATGTCGACAGCCTGACTAGATATTCTAGGAGATGGTGGACGGACCAGGTCTATAGAGAACCCTACCGGGAATGTGGCCTCTCATATCGGACGGGGTATGAAGACTTTATGTGTTTTAGCGCCCATACCGGACATGGTATGGGGACGGCCCGTTTCACCCTCATACCGGACGGGGTATTGAGGTTTATGATTTTGGCGCCCATACCGGGCGAGGTATGGGGACAGCCCTAGAATTAAGTTATTAATGTGAATGGTTCACGTGTAGCGGGGACCCCATCTGGATCCCCATGGATACTAGTAGGCTGATAAAAGAAGAAATTTGTTGTCTGATGATTGAAATACAAAAGTATGATATGTGTTATATTACAGAGTGTGCATGATCTTATGATGTTTATGATGTTATTGTTTCTCATAAGTTGTTTTCATGAATCTCACTGAGATAAGTGGACAGTAAAGGTTTTTATTATTGATAAATGAGTTTGTTCTAAATTATGCTCCATTAGTCTTTTTTGTTTTCTACCAACCTTTACTTCTGTGACAGTGAGATAGTGTGATGTCTTTACTGGGCTAGTGTAGCTCATTCCTTACTTAACTATTTCAGATCAGGAGGACTTGGTTCCTGAGCCTGTTCTGCAGGAAGACAGCGAGTAGAGGCCAAAGAATTTATTAGTTTTCCTTATAGCCTTCACACTTAGAATAAATATATACATTTTCTTTTAATTTCTGGGGCTGTTACAGGCAGTCTCCGGATTTTCTAAATTTTAATGTGGAGATTAAAACACGCTTAACATAACTAAAAATACTCCAAAAAATCTAAAATAGGTGTTAAAAACCTTTTTCTGCCAATTTTAGAATTTCGACACGGCGGCACCGCTGTGCTTCGGCAACGGCACTGCCGTCCACGGTGGTAGTTTGCCTTAGCCTGATTGTTTTCAGTCAAATATTATCGGTTTTGGCTAGCTTTATACCCATCCCTACGAGAAAACACATTAGGGGGTCTCGGTTGGTCGAAAAAAGTCAATAAATAAAAACTTACCGGCAGTGGAATTTTTCAGTGTGGCGGCTCCGCCGGCTCACCTTCGCGGCTGGGCATTTTTCTTCGATCAACTTGTAGAAAACAAAACGGTGAATATAATTGTGGAAAAATCACACGAAACGAAAAACGAGAAGGGGTTCATTAGAGGCAATTTCAAATTTTTTTCGTGGCAGCACCATCGGACTTTGTCCACAGTTTTCGGCTCATCTGCCATTCATTTTGCTCCGATTTGGCCATGGGGGTGTTCGGAATCAAATTCCGAGCAGATAGGAGAAATTTTACCTTTTTTTACAATCGGAGATGACTCCAGCGTGGTGGCGGGCGGCGGTCGGCTCCCTTCTCCGGCGACTGGTTCTTTTTCTCCAGCGAGAGGCTAGCGGCTAGGGTTTGGGTTCAGTATGACGCGAGATATTAATACCCGTCTACCTTAAATGTAGGTCATTTATTGCATTTGTTCTCAACTGTCCGATCGCGTTTAAAGAAAAAATAAATCTGAACTGTTTCATCGCGATTTGATCTCGACCGTACGATCGCGTTTAAAGAAGAAACGAATTTGAACCGTTCATCGCATTTAATCGCGACCATCCGATCACGCTTGAAGACTGATGAGGGAACGGATCCGGACCGTCCACGCGCGCGGGAATGCATTCGGGCCATCCGATCGCGGGCACGCGGATTGCCAACATGGCCTCCTGCGTGATACCGAGTCAGCGTGCTTTACCACACAGTGTGCTCCAATTCGTCGTGGTTGCTAACTGAACGGTTCTACATGACGCACTTTTTTTTAATTGTGTTTTAACCCCTACTTTCTTATTTTTCTTTTAAAAATATCATCCGGATCCAAATTTTCACCCTTTTGTTTTTCAAAATTATTTTCAATTTTATCATCAAGATATTTTTTTCTTAATTTTATATTAAATAAAAATTTAAAAATTATATTCTTATATATTTTTTAAAATTATAAAATTAATCTCAAACTAAATTTCGGACCGGATATTACATTCAATTTCTAAACAATTACAAAGCTCAATTTTAGAAATTATTAATTGCAGAAAAATTCTTAAAATAATTTTAAAAAACTACTGCCGACAAAAAGTTCAAAATTTTTAATTTATAAAAGATTAACATAAACTTTATTATATTATTTTAAATTAATTATTATTACACCGAACTTTTCTTTAGGGGTATATTTATAATAATATAAAAGTACAAGGAGCTGTGGACATGCTCCTCCTTCACAGCGCTTCAAGTTATTATAAAGAAGAAAATGAAATGTCTTTCCCCATTCATTTCACTCGTCAAGCTCTATTAGTCTGTACCTTCATTATCGGATCTTTCCCTCCCTCTTTTTATGCTCTGTGTCCGTATCCTTCCCATTCATCCACCACACTTTCGCAGAAATTATCGGATCCGATCTTGAAGCTTCTCCTGACCACTCAGATCTCGCTCGCTCCTGAATTTCAAGTTAGCGTCTTCTTCTCTTCCTCTGCATCGTCAATTTCATCTCACTCTTTCTAGTTATTCATGGTTTTTGTTATTTCATGAGATCAAAGTACGGTAATCTCAGTTTAAGTTTCGTTTTATAGGAGTAAAATTTCAGTGGTTTAAAGTAATGCGACACTGGGTTCTCCACCGTTGAAAACCATCAACAGTGATCTGCTCAATTTCTCTGTATTATCTTTTGTGTTTAGGTGTTTATCTTGATTTTAGAGTATGGTTGAGAAATGGGTATCTTTTATCTCGTTCTGTTTGTTGGTCAAATTTTGGTTTTGATAGACTCGATTTTGATAGAACCAAAGCTTATCTGGAGAACTGGGTTTATGAGTTTTTTTTTTTTATTTTTTTTATTAAAGAGTTATCTGATGTCTTGTTCTGTACGTATTGACTTGTTTGATGGATTGTAGGTGAAAAATGGCGCATTATTTGATGCATGGCACTTTACATGCCACGGTGTATGAGGTCGATAAACTACATTCCGGTGGCATATCAGGCTTCTTTGGCAAGGTATGTCTACGTTCAGTTTATTATTGTTATTATTATTATTATTATTATTATTTAAGAATTAAACAGGCCACTGATCTAGGTCATCTACTGGGATTGTTGTGTTTATTTGTGAATTATCTTCGTCCCTCCTTCAAGTATTAGGACTGGTTGTAGATATAAACAGGGTGTTGAATTTTTTAAGCCGCCTGTTTATATTGACATCACTATAAAGATTTCAAGTGACTTAGTGGTAGTATCCTGATGTTTTAGACTTGCCAACTGATTAAAGCAGTTGAGTTTTATCGCCTTCATAGAGTTTATTCTGTCTTTGCTTGAAAGGATTCACCGAATATTCTGTTTCTGGTTTACCGAGAATGGATGAGCAGGCTATACTATGGGATGCTTGTATATTTTGGAATATCACTTTTGTGTCTCTCATGATATGTCAGATTCCTCAGTAATGATCTTTCTTCATAGTTCAGTTATTGTTCTCCCCTCTATTAATTTGTTCGGGTTTATCATGTGTTTCTTTGTGAACAAATAGCTATTAGGCCTAAAGGTATTTTCTCCTTTATAAGATTTTACGTAGTTATGATTGAGCCATGTATTTTATCCTTTTCTTTCTCTCTTTCTCGTATCTGATCAGTGAAATGTTCTTGTAGATCCTGGCAAATGTTGAGGGAACAATTGGTATTGGCAAAGGAGTAACCCAGCTCTATGCTACCATTGATCTAGAAAGGGCTAGAGTTGGAAGGACCAGAATAATAAAAGATGAACCCAATAATCCTAAATGGTATGAATCATTTCATATCTACTGTGCCCATATGGCTTCCAATGTTGTATTCACTGTTAAAGATGACAATCCTATTGGAGCCACTTTAATTGGAAGAGCATATGTACCTGTTGAAGAACTGATACGTGGTGATCAAGTGGATAGGTGGGTTGAAATCTTGGATGAAGACAAAAACCCCATTGAGGGAGATTCCAAGATCCATGTGAAGCTTCAATTTTTTGATGTAAAAAAAGACAGTAATTGGAATATGGGTATCAAGGGTGCTAGGTATCTTGGTGTGCCTTACACGTTCTACTCACAGAGACGAGGATGTAGAGTTTCTTTATACCAAGATGCTCATGTTCCGGACGGCTTCATTCCTAAAATTCCTTTAGCAGGAGGAAAGTATTATGAGCCTCATAGATGCTGGGAAGATGTTTTTGATGCAATCACCAATGCGAGACACCTGATCTACATTACTGGCTGGTCAGTTTATACTGAAATCACTTTGATACGTGACTCAAGGAGGCCAAAGCCAGGAGGAGATGTTACTCTTGGTGAGCTACTTAAGCAGAAGGCTAGTGAAGGTGTTAAGGTTCTCATGCTTGTTTGGGATGACAGAACCTCTGTTGGTTTACTGAAAAAGGATGGACTCATGGCTACGCATGATGAAGAAACTGCAAACTACTTCCAGAATACTGATGTTCACTGTGTCCTATGCCCCCGTAATCCTGATGATGGGGGGAGCTTCGTTCAAGGCTTACAAATCTCTACCATGTTCACTCATCACCAGAAGATTGTGGTGGTCGATGGTGAGATGCCTAGTGGGGAATCCCAGATGAGGAGAATTGTTAGTTTTGTTGGGGGCATTGATCTTTGTGATGGTAGATATGATACCCCCTTCCATTCTCTATTCAGGACATTGGATACTGCACACCACGATGATTTCCATCAGCCAAACTTTGCAGGTAGTTCTATCACAAAAGGTGGCCCCAGGGAACCTTGGCATGATATCCATTCTCGATTGGAAGGTCCCGTTGCCTGGGATGTGCTGTTTAATTTTGAGCAAAGATGGAGACAACAAGGTGGGAAGGATGTTCTGGTTAATCTGAGAGAGCTTGATAATATTATTATTCCCCCATCTCCTGTTATGTTTCCAGATGATCATGAGACATGGAATGTCCAGTTGTTTAGATCCATTGATGGTGGTGCTGCTTTTGGTTTTCCTGAGACACCCGAAGAGGCTGCCAGAGCTGGGCTTGTAAGTGGGAAGGATAATATCATTGATCGAAGCATTCAGGATGCTTATATTAATGCTATTCGAAGAGCAAAAAATTTTATATATATTGAAAATCAGTATTTCCTCGGAAGCTCTTTTGACTGGAGTTCTGATGATATCAAGCGTGAGGATATTAATGCTTTACATCTTATACCAAAGGAGCTTTCACTCAAGATTGTTAGTAAGATTGAACGTGGGGAGAGATTCACTGTTTATGTTGTTGTTCCTATGTGGCCAGAAGGGGTACCGGAGAGTGCATCTGTTCAGGCAATATTAGATTGGCAGAGAAGGACAATGGAAATGATGTATAAAGACATCATTCAAGCTCTGAGAGCTAAAGATCGTGAAGAGGATCCTAGAAACTATTTGACTTTTTTCTGCCTTGGAAACCGGGAAGTGAAGAAATCTGGAGAATATGAACCTTCAGAGAGACCAGAGGATGACTCCGATTATATTAGAGCACAAGAAGCCCGTCGTTTCATGATTTATGTTCATACCAAGATGATGATTGGTAAGTAGCAGCATTAAATTTAAATTAGTTTCTAAATCAATTGAATGTGAAGTGACATAGGCCAAAGCACTAAGATAACATAGTTTTGAGCTTATATTTGGTATTACTAAAGTTTTGAGCTTCTATTTGGTATTACTAATCTGCACATCAGCAGATGAGCTCATCTGGTCAAATTATAATCAACTTTTGTTTTTCTTTTTAATGAAAGTTGTCCTCAAGGTAAGTTTTTGGAAACTGAGACCACTCTAGCCTTGAGTAAGAACCTTTTTTCGAGTTCTCAAACATTGAGAGCCAGTCCATTTCTTCTTGGAGGAATCTGTCTTGTCTGATTACTGGTATCTTTGCAATCAAGTAACAATCTTCTAACCTTCCCTTTTGCAGTTGATGATGAATACATCATAGTTGGATCTGCCAACATCAATCAGCGATCAATGGATGGTGCCAGGGACTCAGAGATAGCTATGGGGGCTTACCAACCATACCATTTGACAATCAACCAGCCAGCACGGGGTCAAATTCATGGTTTTCGTATGGCATTGTGGTATGAGCACCTTGGAATGCTCGATGACACCTTCCTTGAGCCAGAAAACATAGAGTGTGTCCAGAAGGTGAACCGAGTTGCTGGCAAATATTGGGATCTTTACGCGAGTGAGTTACTTGAACATGACTTGCCTGGCCACTTGCTTCGCTACCCAATTGGTGTTTCTAGTGAAGGAGATGTTACAGAGCTGCCGGGAACAGAATTCTTCCCCGACACTAAGGCTCGTGTTCTTGGTGCAAAATCGGATTACCTCCCTCCAATATTAACAACTTAATAGGTGGTATCTGTATGTGGTGGAGTAACATTTTCCCTGCCTACCCAGACTCGTTTAATAAAAAATCTGATTGTCCTAGCGGGGGAAATAAACAATGCATTTTGTGTTTGTAGATGCAGAAGTTTGTTGATAGGGTGTTTGGAGAGATGCGGTAAGGCAATGGTCTGATCACTGTTGAACATTTTAGCTGATCATATGTGTTTACTGTTTGATTATTATGCTATTAGCTTTTGCATTCAGAGCTGTCATTAATAATCAGATATTTACATATGCTTAAACAATACGAAGTAAACTATCCATGTTTGATCCGATGGATGGTTAGTATCGATTATCGATTACCTCCGTGTAGATGATCCGATCCGATTCGAGCCTTATACAGAGCAATTTATGTCAAAATTAAAAACTTTGAAATTATAATGCTGTTCAAGGTTAAGAATGTTATGGATTAAAGTATAATTTTTTAAAAAAAAAAAAATATGTTATTTTCTTATAAAACAATATTTAATCCTATACATTATTATATGTATATATATATATATATATATATATTAAATAAGTCATTAATTGTCAACTAAAAAATCTTGAAACCATTTTATAATATATTTGGGACTCATTCAACTGCCAAATAATTTATGTACAATTAATGAATTTCTTTTTTATTAAATTAATATGGAATAAATGGTTAAGATTTTTTATTTGGTGAGGGGTGTGAACGTGACCTAACACTTGGCTCAGTCAGACCGGCATGGAGGGTGGCCCCATCTTATCTGTCTATTTGTAAGAGGATACGCGTGTAACGACGTCGCATCACGTGAACTGAGCAGACACGTGGTGGTCGGTACGTGATGCTCAAAACTCAATCTCACCCTTTCTCTTCAATGACATGACTGTGACAATTGACAAATGACAGCAACCCTCCCCTTCTTCCTCCTCTTCTCTTCTTACTTTTACATTAATCCTATACATACATTATATCTTTTTCCACTTTTTTTTTTTTTTAAATTTCCCATTAATATATATATATATATATATCACTAAAATTTTAAATTCACACCTAAAATGTTATAGTAATAAATATTAAAAATTAAAATGTAAAAAATATTTTCTTTTAAATTATAATAAATATGAAAATTTAAAAATTAATTTAATAATATGCTCTAATTTTTTTAAAATAAATTAACAAAAATAATTTAACATTAAGTCAAGGGTAATTTTCTTTTTTTTTTTTACTTCACATAAAAATATGCTAAATTATGCGTCTCATTTATTTATATATACTGATAAATAGATCTATAGATTAATTAGATTAATACTTGATATTCTCATATATATATATATATAGAAAATTGAACATCAATAAAAATAACAAAGTAAAATAATTGGTGTCATAATTTATATAATTTTGAAAAATTGTTAATAAAAATTTATAATTTTTAATAATTCAATAACAATAAAACCAAATCATAATAAGTAAATAATACATTTAAAATTATAATTACACACTTTTGGGTCCCCGTAGGCAAAAAATGAAACCACCAATGATTGAAGCAGAGTTGACTGTTCACAGTCTTCTAATACTTTGACCAGTCTTCATCTTCTTTCTTTATTATTCCCGTGTGGTGCATTCACACAAGCGCAACCCAAACCCACCACCAAACGACAACTCCAGATTCTCAAGTCTATACTTTTAACGCCTATATATATATATAGACATACGCATATATATCTATATACCCATTTTCCACCTTTATTTTTTCTCTCCAAGAACAAAACACAGCCATCCATATCCTCTTCCACAAACAACCAAAATCTCTCTCCTTCCTTCTTTCAGTTTTTGATCCCATCATGACTTCTATGCTAAGTTCACATGGCCTGGTATTAGCCACAGCCATGGTTGTTTCCAGCTCTGTTCTCCTTCTTGCTTTTTCTAAACAGTTCTCCACCCCCCTTCAACTTCCAACCCAATCCCTCCGTTCTTGTTTGACTTCTGGTAATCACCTTTTTTCTTTACTGGGTTCTTCGTTATACCCCTGTTTTTGTTTAACTTCATTGATTGTTTTAAACAATGTATTTTATGTAGGGGAGAGGAAGAAGAAGAAGAACAAGGAGATGAAGAAGAAGAAGAAAAGAGTCCAGTTTGCAGAGACCGTGAAGGATACAAAAGGAAACGGGAAAGAATACAGGAAAAACCATCATAAGAAAACGGAGAAGACGACGAGGGAAGTAGAGAAAATTTGCAGAAGTGATGAAATGCCTGCTAATCGGATTGCTCTCTATAATGGAATTCTACGAGACAGACTTCACAGGATTGAATGTTCATATTGATCTCTCTGGTTTCTTCTTCTTTTTTCCTTTTTTTTTTTTATTTTGTAAAATTATCATCTTGTGAAGTGTAAATTACGCAACCCTGTTTATCCAATGAACAATCGGGTGTAGAGATTCTAATTCTAGTCTGATCTTAGACTTCTCAACTTTTGACTTGCTTTCCTATTCTTTACTTTATTTTATTCAAAAACTATTTTGGATAAAATATTAATTAATTAGCGGACTAATCTCTTAATAATGGCTTAATATTGATTAACACAAATTTCTACACATTGGGTAGTTGATTATTATTGATTTTTTTCTTCGTGATAATTCGGTGGTTTTAATTTTTTTGATATTGCATTAAAAATAGACATATGGTTTAGAGATCGATATCAGCAAAATAGGAAAGTTAGATTAGAATAGGAAACTAAAATAAAAGAGTTGGAGATGAAGAAGAATGATTGAATTGAATCCGAACAGGCAAGTGGGAAATCAAAGAGAGAAATGGACCACATGAAACTAAAGATTTTAGGAATGGCCGCACACGACTTTCTTTCTTCCTTTCAATTATTAATTAATTTTAACCCACCAACCAAACCAAATTGACCAATAATTCCTTCAAATTTTTCCTAAAAATATTAAATTAATTGTTTTCTTAAAAAGAAATTGGTCCCATTAGGTTTAATTTCTATGTAATTCGTGTATCAATTTTACCATGTGCAATTAAAAACAATTTGTTATGCTTCAATTGTCATCATTCATGATTTAAATTCTTGGGCGGCCAACATTTATTTTTTTAAAAAAATTCAAGTGGTACATTTAATAAAGTATTTTATTCTTCTTTAAAAAGTGAAATATTAAATACCAAAAATAAGTGTGTGAAACAATTGA